TTGTCCTCAGGTTTCTTGTCCTCAGGTTTCTTGTCCTCAGGTTTCTTGTCCTCAGGTTTCTTGTCCTCAGGTTTCTTATTGTCCTTGTCGTCCTTGCTGTTTTTACTTTCCAGAGTAATTATCCCAGTAAATTTAGACTCAAAAAATACTACCATGCTTTTATGTCCGGGACTAACTTGGACTTCGGGTTTAGTTTTGTCAATAAAGTTTCCAAAGCCAAAGACCATTAAAAAAACTTTGTCTTTATCAAAACTCAACTCAAAATTTTGACTTTTGCTATCTAAAAGAGCATCATAATAAGCTTTTTCAGCATCATCCTTAAAGACAAAAGAAATTTTTTCAAAAGAACCGTCAGTTGGATTACCAACGGCTTTATCTATGGAGCAAATTTGCGACACTAAGAAATTAGTTTGGACTTCTAACTCTACTCCTTTGGTTCCTGCGTTTAAGTCCTTGGCAGGAATTTGTCGGATACTTTCTTTAGTAAATGGGATTTTTATTGTTGTCATGGTGATTGTCTAATTAGCCTTTATTTTAGTTTTTATCGTGTTTTTTTTTTTTTTTTTTGCTTAAAAAACCTGCTGAGCTACTGGATATTTTGATAAGGGATTGGTTGAGTGCTTAATAAGAAAAAGCCCATTATCTAACAATTATTTCTTATTTAGTTTTATTCTTTGAATAAGTTAGTAAAATTTGCTAAGGGTTTGGGGGGGTAAAAATGGCGTTATTCAGTGCTTAATTTTTTAAAGCTAAAACAAAATGGATTTTCCTTTCCACTTCCTCTATTAATTTCTCCTCAACTTTGGTAATTTTATCTTTAAACTTATCTCGGTCAATGGTTCTGATTTGGTCTACCAGTATCACACTCTTATTCTTTAAAGTAATTGGCACTTGAAAAGAAAAAGCTTTATCACCGGCTTTTAAGGAAGTAATTGGCATGATAACTATTAAAGGGCTAGCGTTATTTTGCCTATCGTTTGAAACTACCAAAGCAGGGTGAGTATCCTTAATTTCTCGTCCATTACTGTCCGGTAAGTCTACTCAATAAATATCTCCTCGTCTAATTAGCTTTTCTGCCATTTGTTAGTTTTTTACTTCATTTAACCGTTGCTGGCTTATCCTTATTTTTTTCGTAGTTTAGCCAACTTTTAATTTCGGCTTTTTCTCACTGTTTAGCTTCTTTTATCATACGAGGATGAGTAAGGGGAAGCAGAGGACTTTTAATAAGTATTTGAGGAGGGGGTATGTTTAGCTTTCAAAGTGGCTAGTTAGGGGGTAACGGTCTTTTTTTTATACTGAACGACCGCGTGAAGCCAACTAGCCAAGTTCAAAACTAACAAATGCCAGCCAAGA